CCAAATATTTTTTTTAATAAAAGAGAAAAGGAACCGAAAGGGCATTAGAGTAATCTTGTGACATTCTGAAATCCGACCCACTTGGGATTTATGAAATGAATAGTTTATGGACGTGCTTGTAGTTAGATCTCGCCCGGAATTGATCACTTCGGGAATACTAACCATTAGGGAGAGGCTAATTAGGGATTTAAATTCGTGCGACCAAAGAACTCGATAGTGAACCGATGTTCGACCATGAAAATCGTCGAGGTGACATTTTGAGCCAATGTAGGCTGATCTAAGGATAGTTAGGGATCAGTTCGTCATTGTCATATTAGTGGATCGCGGGTGATTCCGCTTGACCACGAAATGAATTGACAAATGACCCCAAAACCTATACCAACCGATCGTGCCCGTCGGATCTAGCGATCGATCCTCGCGATTAAGTGACAACCGAGTTCGTCACGACCCGAGTGAACTTGAACGTGGCTTGATTTAGTATCGGCCACGGGTCAATAATGCGAATTTCCCCAAAAGCCACTCGTTGGTGTGAGATATGCGCAAGTTACGTTATTTAGAACTTAGTCATTAATTAGTGACCAAGTTGAGCATTGGAAATTTAGAAAGTCACGACAGATCATTGGGACGATGTTGTCATCTGCTCGAGTAGCCTCAGATTTGCCCAAATCCTTCAGAAAAATTGAATTTTAGCGAGAAATGGAAAATGACCATTTTACCCCTGAAGGTTTGTTAAGGCCAAGTGTATTTGGGGAAGGGCATTTTGGTCATTTCGTCCTAGCCTTAGAAATAGAGATTTTTGGACAATTTTGCCCTTGGACTTTTTCTTAATTACCCCAATTGCCCTTGGATATTTTGGAAAAGATTCGATCCGGACCGTTGATCTCAAGATAAGATCGAATCTAGGCCGTCAATTTGGATTGTGAGAGAGGGGCATGATGGTCTTTTGGGCACCAATAATTGACTTTGGACTATTTAAGTCCAAACTCTCTCTCTCTCTCCTCTCTCCCTCCCACTCTCGGCTCACTCTCTCCCCCTCCTCCCGACCGAACCAGCCACCCCTTCCCCTCACCATGACCGTCGCCGTCCGCCAAGGCCGGTCGCCGCCGCCGTCCACCTGTCTCGCTGGATCGGCCGCACGCCGGAGCAGCCGCCTAGTCCAGCTGCTCACCCCACCGACCCTCTCTCTCTCTCTCCTGTTTTGCCTCACCGAACACCACCACCAGCCCCCCTGCTGTCCTGTTCAGTCATGGGAAGCCAGCAGACCGCCAGCCACCGCCGCTCGCCGTAAGCCCCCGCCGAGCCGCTCGTCGCTCGCGGTACGCCGCCGTGAGGCCACCGGCTGCCGTCCCCCTTTCTACTCTAGCCGAGCCAGCCTAGAGTTCGTGTAAGTCGCCCCCTAAACCCTATTTAGGATATCGGGTATCGATAGACGCGATTAGGGGTTGAATCGGGTTAATTAGTGTCGGTTTAGGGGTTAATTGGGGCTGTTTAGGGGTTAATTTAATGGATTGATTTGGGGGACTTGAATTGGTTGAGTTGTGGGTAAATTTGTGATGTTTCGGGGCTGAATTGATGCCGGAGTGTATGCTGGAAATTGTGACTCGTATTGACGAGCATATGGTTCGATTTAAGGGCAAATTTCGTTGGTTTTGCGTGTTGTGATGTGACTGGTTGGTAGGGCTTGATATGACTTGGAATGAGCATGGAAATGTTGAATTTGCGCCTATGAATGTGGCTGTGATTGTGAGCCCGTTGGTGGCCTTGTATGTTTGTTGAGTGGTGAATTGATTGATTTTAATGTGGACCGTTATGTGCATGCACGGGCTGAATTGAATGGTTTGTGCATTGGCCGTGTTTGAGTGCTTATTAAGCATGAGAAACGTGTGTAGTTTGGTGCGTGCACGGGCCAAGTGTGATTGGCTAGTACATTGGTATGTCGGTGTCGAGCAAGTGATTGAGTGAGGAATCGTGTGGTGACGTTGTATGTGTGGTGACAAAAATCCATGAGGCGGTACCATTACGCGGGGAATTGATCCGTTCTGAGGCGGTATGACTACGCGGGACGATGCCCGGTATTACCGGAGGACAGCCAACCTGAGGCGGTACCATTACGCGGGTTGTGTCGTAGGTGGTGGGTGTTGAGCCTGTAGCGGTACCATTACGCGGGCAAGATACACGGCCTGAGGCGGTACCATTACGCGGGCCCCGAAGTGTTGTGATTATGAGTTGGTCGTAGTGAACCTGAGGCGGTATTACTACGCGGGTCACTGGCGAGTCGAGTGGAAAAATGAGATAGTCGCAGTGAACCTGAGGCGGTACTACTACGCGGGTCACTGGCGAGTCGAGTGGAAAAATGAGATAGTCGCAGTGAACCTGAGGCGGTACCATTACGCGGGTCACTGGCGAGTTGGGTGAAAGGAATGTGATGAGGCAGGAACGAATGCGTGAAATGTAATTAGAATGTGCATGTGATTGGAAATGGTGTTATTGTGGCTAACGTGTAGGTTGCACGCAGGAAAGGCCCAGGTGAGTATGAATTGTGTGCCTGCTATGTGATGGCTGAGTGTGGTTGTATTTGTGATTGTCTGGAGGTACATGATAGCCTAGGTGGGGTTTAGGGTGTGTGCTTACTGAGATGTGATCTCATGATTGTTTCAACCAACAATTTCAGAACCCCGGCCTGAGTAATGAATCTCCCACCGCCACCACCTGAGCATTTTGAAGTACCGATGCACACCAACCACAGTGTTGTAGAGTACCCGATAGACGATAATATGACCTGGATCAAGCATACTACAGTAGTTTGGGTAGACGTAACCTTACCCCTTTGGCAGGCCCATAACTATACTGCCTGGTACTTTCGAGATAGGGTAGATGAATTTGGCCTCGTCTGAGGCTTCGATGTCCCCTTTGATGGAGTTGGGGACTGGGATCCATCAGCCATACCCCCTCCCGATGGCGAGATGACTAGTTTGGAGACTAGTCTAGCGCAGTCCGGACTTCAACCTGCGCCTGCAGCACCTGAGCCCTCAGGGGCCGAGTATGAGCCGGAGCCGGAAGAATCCCAGGCGGGGTATGATCCCATGGATGTGAATCTTGATGTGATACCAGAGGAAGAGCCAGAAGAAGAAGAGCCTGAAAATGAGCCTGAAGAAGACCTAGACGTGGGGCCAGAGGACGCACCCGAGGACGAGCCACGGTACGATCCCGAGTTTGTGCCAGAGGACGAGTCAAATGATGAGCCAGTTGAGGAGGAGCGAGTTGAGGTTCCAGCAGAGTCGGGTGATATAGACCACCCGATTGAGATCGAGGCCGAGCCGGAGTCCTCAGACGAGCCGACAGTTCAGAGGGATTCAGATTCGGATGATGAGGAATCAGACTCTGAGTGGATGCCAAGCAGAGGGCGTAGGGGCTAGAGTAGGGGTTGGGTGTAGGATTTTGAAGGGTACCATTTTTGGCGATAGGATACCCAGGCTATCGATCCTTTTTGACAATGGTGGTATATAGTGTAGAGGTTCGGTGTGCTTGTATATATTGTGGTTTTGTAAATAGTGGATATGGTATAAGTTTGAATCGATAATGGATGTATTTAATCTCCCTTTTTTACCCCAGTTGTTCTTGTCCGGGTATTTGTGGCTTCCGCTGATTGAATTAAATCTCTGATAAGTTGAATTGAGTGGACGATTTTCTGAGACGTCGCATTATTCGACCGGAGAAGTGTGTCGCGTGCTCGATGGGGTTCGGAGCGTGACAAATCTAGTGTAACCAAGTCTCCGAGTCCATAATCTCTAGTTCGTAGGAGTAAAGTAATTCTCCCGATAGTTTACTTGGGTTTCTAATCGACCCACCAAAAAATAGATTAGTGGCGACTCCCGATTGAAACGATTTGCATGTTAAGAACTTAAACCTTAAGTCGCGAATTGGTAAGGGCTTGGGAGAGCCCGTGTTAGGCCTAGACTTAATAATCCATTAGCCGAAGCCCTAGGTGGTGCACCCGAGGGTAGGTCGTGACAGTTCTCATTGATAAAATCTTGATGAAGGGTAAATATATCACATATATACAAGTTTGAGATTTTTGGTGTTACAGAAAATTTTTTATGGTAAATATGTTACAATGGGTATAGTTTGAGGTTTTTGTGACTTTTTCCTTAAATAGAATAGAAAATTTTAGCTTGAGTTATTTTAGGAAATGTATTTAAATTAGTGTAGGATGAGAACATTTTTATACCAATTTAGAAATTACGAGACATTATGGGATATATAGACCATCCTAAGTTATCATTTTGTTCATTTTCAACGTTGCAGTCCATTATTTAATATGGTTAATACCACGAAAAGCCCTAAATTGATACACTTATGACAAATTTATCCCAAACTAATTTTTTGACCACTAAAAACTCCCAAACTAATACACCTGTGACAAATTTAGCCCAATCTAATTTTTTGACCACAAAAAACCCCAAATTAGTATACTTATGACAAATTTACCCTTCGTGAAATTGTATTAATATCACGAAAAATCATAAATTGATAAATCTGTGACCAATGGAAGGGCAATACTCTAAACTGGTCCACCCATCAATTGCCATGTATAATCAAACTCAGCAATCTAACGGTAAAATTTATTGAAAACTAATGGAGGGTAAATTTGTCACAGGGGTACCAGTTTAGAGTGTCACGCCCCGAACCCCGACGAGCGCGCGACACCCCAAGCTTGGTCGAAATAATGCGACATCCCAGAATGTCGCCGACCCCAAACACATAGAGATAAAGCACTAACGGAAGCAAACATACACCCAGACAATATTTAGAAAGGGGCAATAGGGAGAATATACATTCATTACCAAATCAAACTTATAACATTACATACTAACAATAAACATATTATACACGCATATCAGCTTCTAAAGTTCACACCACCAACATCAAAATGGATCAGTAGTCTAGGTATAAACTAACTCCAAAAAGGGGCACTTCAAAAAGGGTTACCCTACCCCCAACTAACCCCTACGACCTCTAGACGGTGTCCACTCTGAGTCAGTCTCCCTAGAACCTGAATCTGCCTCTCCCTGATCCTCCTGCTCCTCTGACGACTCAGAATCCGCCCCAATCTCAATCGGATTATCTTCATCTCCTGACTCTAATGGGACCTCAATCAGCTCCTCTTCTTCAGGCTCCTCCTTCGGTTCTTCCTCGAGTTCTTCTTCGGGCTCCATTTCGGGTTCCTCCTCGGGTTCTCCCTCAGGTTCTACTTCGGGCTCCTCTTCAACGGGTTCCTCCTCGGGCTCTTCTCCTAAATCCACGTCCATCGGATCATACCCTGCTTGTGACTCTTTCGGCTTCGGTTTAGGCTTAGCCACCGTGGGTTCGGGTTTTACAGGTACAGGCTGATGACCTGACTGTGCTAGGCTAGTGTCGAGGCTGGTCATCTCCCCATCATGAGGAGGTATAGCCGATGGATCCCAATCTCCTACTCCATCAAAAGGGGCATCGAAACCACGAACCGGTGCGAACTCGTCCATACCCTCCCGAAAACACCAGGCCGTATAAGTGTGGGCTTGCCAAAGAGGTTGTCCTATATCTACCCAGACTACTGTGGTGTACTTAATCCAAGCCATATTATCATCTATAGGATACTCTACTACTGCATGATCGGTATGCATAGGTATGCCAAAACGCTAAGACAGTGGCGGTGAAGGATTCATGGTCCAGGCCGGGGTTCTGAAAAGGTTAATTTATACAACTATGAGACGAATCTCAATAAGTCGACATCCTAAACCCCACTTAGGCTATCACGTACCTCCAGACAAGTCCAAATACAATATCACTCAATAAACACATAACATGCACATAAATGCACTTACCTAGGCTCTTAGTACACACAATCTGCACGTTAGTCTCAAATCCACAAATTTCAAACAACATGCACTTTCCAAACTATTCTCATGCCCAAAAGCAAATGTCGAACACATGGCATTTCCGAACTCCGCATTTCACACTCATTCATGCACCACCACACCATTTTCATTAAAGTTGCCAACGACCCGTGTAAACACGCCTCAGGTCCGATCTCATTCTCACTTGCCACATCACACATCTCATTCTCATTCTCTTTCCACAGCCCGCGTAAACACGCCTCAGGCTCCACATTCCTATCGCGACCCGCGTAAACACGCCTCAGGTCCGATCTCATTTCCACTTGCCACATCACACATCTCATTCTCAATCTCTTTCCACAGCCCGCGTAAATACGCCTCAGGCTCCACATTCGTATCACGACCCGCGTAAATATACCTCAGGGATTAAGTGATCACGCGAACATGCTAACACGCCATATTTTATCTCTACCCCGCGTAAACATGCCTCAAGGCTTTTTAGTGATCACACGCACATCACACGCCTCAAATCTCACACGTTCACATACTCGAACATTAATTAAATGCACTCAAATGCACCCAATTCAACCATCTCAATTCGGCCCATGTAACATACATATAACCATCACATAACATGCCATATTTCATCACAAAAACCATGGCACGACAAACACGGCACTACACCACGATTTCACACAATTAAGAGTCGAACCAAATTATGTACCCTAAGCACCAAACCGAATTTTGCAGCACTCATACCAACCATACTCAGCCCTCATTTAGCCTCTAATTACTCACCAAATCACCACAATTTCATCCATAAAAATCCTCATCCAAAACAGCCCCTAAAACTACACTAAACCGTGTCTAAACGAGCCCGTTAATACCCGATATCCTAAATAGGGATTAGGGTGCCACTTACTTGAAATTTCCAAGCAAGAACAGCCTATCAAGGGGGCGGCAAGGCGGCGAGGACGCAGCGGCCACGGCGGTCCGGCAGTCGGACGCACGGCGGATAGCGAGCACGCGATGATCCGGCACGGCTCCGGCCAACACACGGCCAAGGGGAAGAGAGAGAGGGTTTTGGTGTGGGAATGAGAGGGAGAAAGAGAAAGAGAGAGTGAAAGGAAATAAATAAGTGGCACCAATAATTGGTGCACTTACCCCATGCCAAAATTACCATCCTACCCTCCTCTCTACCTTCCATCCAACGGCCAAGATCCAAGCTTATCCAAAAATCGACGGCCAAGATCAAATCTTACCAAAAATATCTAAGGGTAAAATAGGAATTTCACAAAAAGTGCAGGGGCAAAATTGTCCAAAAATTTATATCTCTAAAGTGGGGGTGAAATGACAAAAATGCCCTTCCACTTTTATACTTAGCCTTCACAAAATCCCAGGGGTAAAACGGTCATTTTCCACTTCCTATCAAAATTTCAGTTTTCTGACGAATCCGGACAAATCTGAGACTGACCACGGTAATAACGACGTCGTCCAATTACTCTGTCATGACTTTCAAAATTTTCAACACCCAAACTCAGTCTCTATTTAATGGCCAAACTCAAATAAACGCGACTTGAGCTTATCTCAAACTAACGGGTGGCTCTCGGGAAAATTCGTACATTCGACCCGTGGTCGATACTAAATCGAACCACGTTTAAGTTCACTTGAGCCATGGCGACCTCGATTGTCATGTAATTGCGAGGATGAATATTAGTTCTAAAGGACGCGATTGTTTGGAATAGGTTTGAGATCGTTCGCAAATTTCGTATTCTGGCGAGGCGGAATCACCCGCGATCCAATTATACGACATTCGCAAATCGATCCATGACCATCCTTAGATCCGTCTATATTAGCCCAAAATATCACCTCGACAATCCTTATGGTCGAAAGTCAGTCCATGATCAGGTTCTATGGTTGCACGAATCTAGATCCCTAATTAGCCTTTCCCTACTGGTTAGTGTCCCAAGAGTGATCAAGTCTGGGCGAGATTTACTACAAGTGCGTTATTGAAATTACGCATTTCATAAATACCAAGTGGGTTGAAATTTAAAATGTCACATGTAGTTTTTGGTGGTCAAAAAATTAGTTTGGGGTAAATTTATCACAAGTGTACCAGTTTGAGGTTTTTTGTGGTATGAACCCTATTAATATATTGATTCATCTTATAGTAAGCATTAGATCTATTGCATTTTTTTTTTGGGTAAAAGTTTGAGGTTGAAGGATGTTATGGATTCGCATAACCATTTAGAGGTATAAAATTTAGGGCTAATACCACGGAAATCCCAAACCGATACACTTATGACAATTTACCTTAAACCAATTTTTTGATCACAAAAAACCCTAAATTGGTACACTATTGACAATTTTACTCTCTGTTAGTTTTTATTAAATTTTATCGTCAAATTTATGAGTTAGATGACGTGTGGTAGTTGATGAGTGTACCAGTTTGGGGTTTTACCTTCCGTCTGTCACATGTGTACCATTTTGTGGTTTTTCTTGATATTAATCCAATTTAATCAAGGGTAAATTTATCACAAAAATGTACCGGTTTGGGATTTTTAGTGGTAAAAAAAAGTTTAAGATAAATCTGCCACAAGTGTACCAGTTTAGGATTTTTATGGTCAAGAAATTAATTTTGGGTAAATTTGTCACAGGTATACCAATTTGGGGTTTTTCGTGATATTAACCCTAAAATTTATGAAGAGACTTTTTTCACGAACAATAAAAAAAAATTATTTCTTATTCTAGTGAATTACCTCGCCTTTTGTTTAGTGGGGCAAGTGACAAATGTTGCACTTTAGAAAACCATATTACTTTGAAGTTGCTATACCATAACTTAATGGGTTAATACCACGAAAAACCCCAAACAGGTACACTTGTGACAATTTTACCCCAAACTAATTTTTTTACCATAAAAAACCCCAAATTGGTACACTAGTGACAAAATTACCTAAAACTAATTTTTTGACCACTAAAAACCCCAAACCGGTACATTTTGTGGCAAATTTACCTTCATTTAGTTTATGTTAAATTGGATTAATACCACAAAAAAATCACAAACTGGTACACCTATAACAAACAGAGGGTAAAACATAAAACTGGCACATAGGTCAACTGCCGCATGTCATTTAACAAAGCAATTTGATTGTAAATTTTAATGGAAACAAACTGATGGTAAATTTGTCACAAGTGTACCAATTTAGGGTTTTTGGTGGTTAAAAAATTAGTTTGGGGTAAATTTATAATAGGTGTGCCAGTTTGGGGATTTTCGTGATATTAACCCTAACTTAATCTAACTTAATTCGATTTATCTCGTGTATACATTAGTCTCGCCAGCTAGTATATATCAACTTGATTATTGTGACATTTCGAATTTCGACCCATTTTTGGGATTTATAAAACGTGTATTTCGTCGGTGCGCTTATAGCTAAATCTCGCCCAGAACTGATCACTCTCAGGTTATTTTTTAATTTGAGATTTCGCTAAAATCGCACTCGATCGAATTTGGCCGTTATTTAGAGCCCGAACTTTAGTGTCGAATTTCTCGGAGTTTCGTGACGAATTTAATTGGACGGTGTCGATATTATTGTGGCCAGCGTCGATATTGCCCGAGATTGATAAAAAGTGAAATTTGGACCGGGTGTAATTTTGGACTAGTAGACCTCCTTCTTAGTGTATTTTAGCTAGTGTTTTTGGTTTTTCCCTAATTTATAAATTAGGATTTTTCGTGGACCTTCGGATCGACTTCGAGTTTAAACGTGGGCCGTTGGATCGCACTCGATTAAATTTGACTTTCTCTCTCTCTCTCTCCCCCCTTGCGCGCACATCCCCTCCCCTTGCCCCATGCAGACACTTTCTCTCTCCTCCTGTTCTTTTTCTTTTTCTTCTTCTTTCTTCTTTCCTTCTTCTTCCTTCTTCTTCTTCCTTTTCCCCTTTGCCGCTGCCCTACTTCCTTTCTGGCCGAGCTCGCCGCCGTCGCTCGTTGCCGCCGCGTCTCTAGCCTGGGTCGCCGCTCGCCGATCACCCGCCGGTCGCCACCGTTGCTGCTGACTCTCCCCCCTGTTCTGGCCGAGCTCCCCCTTTCCCCTCCGGTGCGCGCCTCTTGCTCAACGCCCTGCCACCGAACGCTACCGTCTAGTCGCCGCGCGCCGTCCGCTGCCTAGCGACTGCCGTCGCTGCTGCTCGCAGCTCACTCCCGATCGCCTCCCTCTTCCCCTGCCCTGTCGCCCTTGTTCTAGCAAGCTCGCCGCCGCGTTCGCCGCGGCCCGGCACTGTCGAACCGACAGCTGGCCCGTCTGGCCTTGCCCAGCCACCTGCGACGCCGCCGTGCCGCCCCGACCGCCACCGGCCACCATCCCAGCTCGCACGGCCGACCCGTCGCCGCCGCCGCCGTCACCGTCCGACCGCCGCCATAGCTCGCCGGCGCGTCGCCTAGCCGCCCGGCCGTGGCCGAGCTCGCCGGCCGCCCGCCTGGCCGTGGCCGAGCCGTCCCAGCCGTGTCCGTGCCGTGCCCAGTTGCTCACCCGCGTGCCTGGCCGCTCGCCCGGCCGTGGCCGAGAGTCCAGGGCCGTGGCCGACGGCCGTGCCGAGCCGTGGCTGGCCACCGTGCCCGTTGCGCCCGTGCCGCACCGAATCGCCACTGT